GTAAAGGCGATATATTTCAAAATGAAAATATACGCAAAATCCTTCGTTTTCTGGAACGTCTTTTTTTAATGTTCTGACCTCTGATCAGAGTTATAAACTTTATCGGGAGTTCTTTCATTGTGATATCATTAAAACTTAAAAATTCGTGACTACCACATTTATAATATCTATTATTATCAATTGTAGAAACGGTAACTAAGAAAAATGCAAACATTACCTACAATGCATAAGTTACAGTTAATTAATTACATTAATTCGCTTATAGACACTTATGTTTTATTCCTGAAATCCCGAAATGACATTAGAAAAACTCTGATGACAATGATAAGCTGAAATAACCAAACTCTTTACATGGTTTTCATTTTATTATTTTTTATATTACACTAATTGATTTATATAAGCGTAAAGGTTATCTTACGTAAAGTTTTATCACACCAAGTGCTCAATCTAACACAATTTAAAAAATTCTTTGTTCTTCTATTGATACAATTTCAATTTTTTTTAATGTGTTAAGTTGGGCACTGGGTGTAAGATGGTTTACGTTTATAAATATAAATAAAATACTATAATGTAATATAAGTACGAAATAAGTTAATAATCTTAATCTTTGCAGTTATTATTTTGTTGCCCGAGCAACACCGGGCTCATCTGCTAGTATCTTTATAAATGATAATTATTTTCTATCTACCAGAATAATAAAAAAAAATTAAGATTATGCGCTAACAAATACTGTTTAAACGGCACTTGACTAATTAAATAACGTTATAATAGATTACATACAGAAATTATATTATTTAATACTAATTTGAATTGCTAATTCTATCAGGTTAAAAACAAAGAACTTTCTTGTTGATGAAACGTATGATGACGGATAATGTCAGCTTTATCTGCATGTGCTATATACGAACAATGTTCAAAATAGTGTTTTTTCTCTTTTGCTGTAAATGTCGTGCATAAAGTCAGCACAGGAACTTAAAACTTAGTTCAATCCGATTCATAAGCTTTGTCCGTAAGCAATACACCATATCGAAGTAAAAGCTCCAGTCAAATCAGAGGTAAAGAGTACTGACGCTGAGTGCTTCTTATTCGTCACACAGTAATCAGTGGAATTATATTCAATTACATTGAACAGTTAATTAGAATAATTAATTTATATCTGTTTTAATCAATTACTCTAATGTAAGAAACCAGGAGTTCTAGGGCTTGTCCTTAAGAACCACTTACTTAGCAATAGTCTGCAAATACCGCTCACGTTGTCGTTTCGGATGGCTACGAAAACAAAAACGAGTGGGGAGCGCGTCGGTAAGGAGACAGGTGTCTTTCCTTAAATATATACAGAGGTTGACAGGTTTAACAATAAACAAAGAATTTATTAAATGTCTAAAGCCAATATACAGGCGGGTGATACAAGTTCAAAGGTTACAAGCTGTTAAGTAGCGATTTCAAAATATCCAAGACTTGGCGACCAGTCTCTACACTATATCGAGTGCCTAATTTCTGTCTCGAGAAGAGAGGGTTTCCAATTTGAGCTAGCAAATACATCTCAATGGACTTGAAGAGCTGTATGTGACGATCAATCTTTCTACGGAAGTAGCGTAAGTCATGGATGTCTTCTACCGTTAATCCGGGAGACCAAGATGGACAGTAACTCAGACATAACTTCCTGACACGAATGACAAATAAATAAATAAAATATTTAAATATTTTATTTATTATTTTATTTACTAAATATTTTTTTTTCATTTTCCTTTTCTCCATGTTTCATATAACATAAACACGAAGTTTCATCAAAATACATCCACGAAAACGGGATATAGACAGGTTTGAGTAGCGAAACTTTAATTATAACCACCCTGTATTTGACCTGTTACTGGTGTTGTGAGAGTAAATAAATGTATTTGTTGACGCCACCTGTGATTACTTGGTCAGTACTTTTCAAAACGTCTACTTCAAAAGCTTTTACAAACAAATTGGAATAGACATAAGTGCACTTTGAATACAATCATGATTTCGAAATCAGATTTCGTTACATCTATTTTTAAACGTTAATTTAACTCTATGCAAAAATCTGATTAATTTCAATTGCAAGCATCGAAAAAACAAATGAGATTTTAAGAAGATTTTTGTAAATACTTTTAGGAACATGCAGTCTTTTGATGTTCTGTTTCAATCAAAGTTTACAATGCAAACAATTAAAATCAAATTTTAACTGTTTACGAATTGTGAAAAATGTTTTTTTCTTTCTACTGTAATTAATGATTTTTATGGCAACTCGATTAATAAGCGATGCCTCTCTAAACAAAAACTGGACCCATTGAGGTGTTACTAACGTGAAGAAAACACGAAAATCTTCATTTTGCTGGAAATTCTAAAAAAAATAATCGCCACTTCTTGTTATCTGAGTTTTAGATTAATCGAGATTTATCTCAATCGCTATGTAACTAATGTAATTTATTAAGTGAACAAAGTATACAGATGCATACGCAAAACGCAACTACAGAAAATACAGGTAAACATGTGGTAATCCCACACGTTTCAAAATAGGTTTTATAAGAAGGAAACAATCAATATTATAAATTTTTGTTTTGTTAAAGTTATTTTCATGCGATTTCTACCAACTCGTTCATTTTGTTTCTTATTATATTTCTCAGAACCAAGACATATAAAGCAATTGGTGAATACAACAAATATTTACATTTGTTTGGTAAACATAAATAAAGTTTGAAAGACGTCACATATGTTTGTATTAAATATGAACATTTGAAATGAAATACAAACTCATTTGACGAATAAATGGCTAAAGCTAAATAAAAAAAAACTTGATTAAAATTGAATATTAAGGCTATTTATTTATGCCTATATATTTTTTCACAGCCTGTTCGGAGCCTCACATAAACAACAAACTTACAATGTACTATACATTCGTTCGGTACATTCTATATTCTGTAGCAAGGGTGTTAAGTAGCTTTGCTAATCTATTGTTTGGAACAGACACCATCTGCTAGAAAATATTATCAATAAATAAGCATCAGAAAATGCAATTGCTCATCTTCGTAAACAAAATTACTTCTGTAATAAATAGGCGTGATTGGCATTATGTACTGTACTGCATATGTGTATTCCCGTCTAAACAAAGTAATGTGTGTCTTTAAAATAATAACATTTCTTCCATGTTACCTTTCTCACAACCTTCATCAACACTCCAAAGTCACATGTAAAGTAACAAATATTTGCAGTTACCTCATGTGTTGAAGTTTTATTTAATGATTCATGCATTGTAATCTTGAAAATGTCTTGTTAAATTTATATTGAATTCAAGTTGAAATGCCTCAATAACTGTATTTTTGGGGAGAATAAAAGGAATTAATCTAATTGACATTATTTCTTATAAGAAAAATTCGTTCGTTAACGAAGAAAATGGCAATTGAACAGTCTTTATTAACAAATTGAATTTGAGAACCGAGGCAACATTGTATATCCTTTTAGGAATTACTGTATTTTTCGATCTAATTAGCGAAAGACATCCTTACATTACCGTTCGCTCCGCCCCTCTGTTTACGTTCATTTTGTAAAATGGCCAAGGGCAGTATAGGTCAGACAAGGTCAGACATGTTATATTATTTTAAAAATTCACCAAAAATCAATTTATCNTTTATATAATATTTTCAAATAACTTAGTTTTGAATTCTGAAAATAAAGGTTATTTAAAAGTTTAATATAAATTGTTTTATACATTCACCCAGTGGCGTAGCGTAATGGAGCTCCCCTTCCGCCCCGGGCGGCACTTATAGGGGGCGTCAAAATTTCACAATAAATAATAATAATACCTTGTAAAAATTTGAACCATTTTATTTCATATTTTTGTCGTACTTACGATTCGGACCGATTGAAATGAGCACGGAATTTTTCATTACTTATTCTCTGACGAAACTGAATTTTAGTCTTTTAATTAAATTGAGATACCTAATTAAGGGGACGGCGAAAGTTTTCTCCACCCCGGGTGGTTGATACACACGCTACGCCACTGCAGTCACCAAACAATATTTCAAATGCATTACTGGCATTAAAAAAAAAAAACGATTTCATAAAACAAGCTAAACACATTTTTTCACTTCTACATAATTGACTAGATTCTCCTTTCCGAGTTAGTTCTCGAAGAGTAGTGAAACCCAACGTGACTTTAATGTTTTAAAACTCGTACGCGACTCTGTTTCCCTCTGAAATTTAGAAGAAAATTTAGAGGAATTTATTCCGTTTTTCAATGATTTAAGTTTTCGGGTCAATAGTGTTATCAAACTGCGTTTTATTTGCCTCTACTGACCTCACCAGAAATATCCACCTATATTTCATAGGAATAGAATTTGTCTTGTCATAAATGACCCCTAAGTTTTGCTACAAAGAAAAGTAGATTCATTTCAAGCTAATGGGTGTGTTCTTAGAATCTTGTTTATTTCAAGAAAGGAAATAACCGTTTTCCATCGCACTACTAAGAGCTAAATCAATCGAGACCATCACGGAACCCGTACCCATTGATTGTTTGAAAAAATTTTCTGTTTTCTTTCTCCATACGTAGCAATTGTATTAGCAACCATCAGACCTAACCTTACTTTCTTTCACTGATTACAATTCTTCCTGAAATATCTTTCTGGGTCACGTAATTTCACAATAGATATTACGTATTTACTTAACTAGGTTTAACACACTATAGTAAAATCCGCGGTTCTCCTTGATTGTTTTGTGTTGAAGGATAAGTGACCATATTGAGAATTGTTATTGTCAAAGCTAAAGCGAAAATTTGAACTAACATTTGCTTCAAAATTTTCAGCAGACCTGTTGCATTTATAGCAAGAAAGTGTTTATCAAATTGGATAATTAACTTGTTAAAATGATACCTTAATACGGAAACAAATAGATGACAGAATGAAAATAAAACAAAACAAATTAAAAAAGAAGATACTCATATAAAAGATACATCATCAAAATTATTAACGTTTCTCGTTTTTTTCAAGACCGATATCATCTTTGTGAAATAAAATGTTACGAACAACTCACCTTAAAGATGTTTATCAGATATGGGTAGTCATGTGCAGTACAAGTAAATTTTCCTTTCTGGACAGCTGATGCTAATTCTTCGAACGTTTTCGGCAATGACTGTTTTTCCTTGTTAATCATAAACGAAGTTGACGTTCCACCATAAGACCAAGATATGATCAAAACTGGAAGCATCCAGAAGACCAAGGCCACTCTGGAGGGTGAGCGTCTAACGACGTTCAAATCGGCTCCTGAAATAAAAACGAGAGAAAGAATGTTCACCAAATACAGTTTTTAAATGAAAATATTGTCTTGTTATACGTTGATACTTACCTTGATTGAGAAAACTTCCGAACAGAAACCAAACGAATCTTCTTTTATTCCAACCTTTGTTATTGTCTTCTGTTGATTTCTCGTAACTGAGTATTATAAATATGAGTATTCCAGCCACCAAAGTACAGATGAAAATGGCCAGCCACACCTTTATATGAAAGGTTTTTCTGTGTTTGAAATAATATTTAAAATTTTGCATGAATTATATTTTTAAGCTTTACTTACCCAAAAAGAGAAAGGAGAAATTAGTGATTTCCAGGAAAGTTCTAAATTCTTGTTTTTAATGAAGAATTGCAAAGGGACAAACCTGTTAATTGGAGTAAACTCCAGAACACCAATCGTATCAGCATTAATTAACTGGGGCTGATCGGAGATGTCGGGGTCCTGTTAAAACGTAATATTGATAATTTACGAAGTAGTAATAATTATGTTTCTGCTAATGCATTCGTAAAGAGGAAATAAAAGTAATTTACATTTGACGAGAAAATGTTTATTTTAACAACTTACAAACGTTATTCTTTTTAATTCGACTGCAATTTGAAGACAATTGTAGACCTATACATTCTCACTGTCGTTTGTCTGTTCGCCTGTCTTCTCTTAACCTCTAGAACGAAATTAGATAAAATCTGATATCAGATTTGAAAACCATAAAAGCTGGAATCTCAATTCAGTATACATGAACTTCTGGTTTGCACCGGAAGTCACGTTATTTCGATTCAAATCTTTCCCTAAAAGCAGTTAGTAAATGATCGAAACGACTCAATTGTCGGCCCACCAGTGGCCAAGCGGTCTTTGCACCCCGAGCACCGGGAGTTCGGTCGTGGGTTCGTGCCACGGTCTAGCCATGAAGAGTTTTCCGATTTTCTCCACGTCTTTAATGTCTAAGTGGGGGCCAGTTTATCTTAAAGATACCTCCCGGAAGGCATCGCCCAAGTGTTTCGTTGCCATAACTTAACAAACAACAACAATGACTCTATTGCTATAGGAAAAGTATGATACAGGGGCAAGCCACTTTTACTTTAATGTGGAGAAAATATATTTTAGATTAATGAATATTAGTAAAAATTGTAACATAAGGCGATATATATACTGGAAAAGGAACAACTTACAATTAGATTAAAAGAAGCGCCATTAAATTATAACATTATTGGTTAATTTGGCTCCGCTGTGTTGTTATTTTGTCAATTGTAACTAAGTTTAATAATGCCAGAATAAAAAAAATATAATTTCGTTATTCAGAAATAATAGTTGCTATGTGTATTTATAGAGCATTGATTTACAGATTTACAGAAGTAGATGTGTTGAATATTAAATATTAACAAAAACTTTCGTATTAAAATAGACATATATTTTAAATGAGGGAAAATAGCAATTATCCTGATCAAAATTAATATTTAAGTCGACATAATATAAGAATTTAATTACTAAATAAATATCACGTTAAGATGGAACAATAATTATGTATATTTATAATCGCAAAGAATAATTTACAAATATAATATCGATTAATACATATACATACACGCTTCATCACGAGAAAACGGAATAATAAAGTTCTAAATATTCGTTGCTTAAACCATAACAATAAAATATTCATATATGACCTACACAGAAAATGTTGCAGATTTTTATTAAATTACATATTTATTTTTGTTACGCATTAATAAATAGGCAAATAAATAAATAAAATATAAATACATGTTGCTATCAAGTACTATTAATTTCTTAACAATCATATTTGAACAGTACTCCCAGGACCGGATTTTTCATTACATGTATATTACGGTCCACAGAATCAATTTATTTATAACAACGCACGACGGGATTTAATTTGGGAACTCGAAGTAACAGAACGGAAGCGGAAGTTAAAACACTGGAACCCGGAAGTGTACAGTACACTTTACTACTAACATAAAACAACTAAGGTTTATTTTAGCGTAAGAGATTATTGAGGTATTCTGCAAAATGTTAGGAACTATATCTAGCTTAGAATATGGATGGTTTCTTCACGATACTACAATTAAAATAATCAATCAAAACAGTGTTATACGGCGTCGACTGTATATATTTTCCGCATCAATGTAATAGTGGTTTGCTTCTGTACAATACACTGTTTTTTTTAACAATAGAGTCGTTGTTTGTTACGTCAACGCAACACTAGAAAATGTCTTCCAGGAATTTTTATAACATAAACTAAGCCCTGTTCAGGCGTTAAATACGTGGAGAAAACCCAGAAAACTCCACGTGGTTAAACCTTCCATGCGAGGCGCGAACCCACGACCAAACTCCCAGTGTTCATGGTACGAAGACCGCTTGGCTACTAATGGACAACCACAGTCGTTTCGATTATTTACTAACTGCTTTTAGGGAAAGACTTGAATCGAAATAACGTGACTTCCGGTGCAAACCAGCAGTTCGTGTATAGTCAATCGAGATTCCTGGCTCTACAGTTTTCAAATCTGATATCAGATTTTATCTAATTCCGCTGTAAATGATAAGAGAAGACAGGCGAACAGACAAACGACAGTGAGAATGTATAGGTATACAATTATCTTCAAATTTCAGTCGAATTAAAAAGAACAACGTTTGTAAGTTGTTATAATAATGTATATTGTAGATATATGTAAATATCGTATGTAGCTATGTAAAAAATGTTTTTTTCTGCATAGAGTGATCCATACATATATGTGGGAAAGCAGAACATCGCAGCAAAATAGCAAGATTGATTTTGTGATATATAACGAAACTTTAAAGGGAATGATAAAAAATACAATGATGGGAGAGGGTGAAATAGGCACTGACCATTACTTGGTCAGGTCAAGGATGCAATTTGTGGGTGACAGGCAGTATGAAAAACAGAACAGTGAACGAAGGGTAGGTTGCTGAAACAGTAAGGAGATATAAAAAACATACCTGAGTTATTTGAGTGGTTGGAGTAAGGAAGGGGACAGGTAGTCTAACCATGAATGCAAGGAGATGGGAACAAAAAAGAAAACAATATGTCGCGGCTAAACGATAAGATAAATCGGAAATGAAGTTGAAGGAGACTTTCTGGCAGCATATGAGAAAGACGAAAAGAGGTAGTGAGTACGTGAGAACAAAGAGCATGTAAGATAAGAATAGCCTTCTATTATTGAGGAGAGAGAATATGTTGGAAAGACGGTAATAGTATTTCAGTGAGATTTCAGGATGCCCAAATGTCAGTGACAAGGGTACTAAGCATGAGGTTAGAGTGAATGACAATGAGAATTGGCATGGCTGTGAAGAAATCAGTGTGTAAGAGGTGAGAAGACCGAGTGACAAGTTGAAAATGAAAGCTGAGGGTCTGGATGGTATGTATGCTGAAATGTTAAAATACGGTAGTGATGTGTTATTGGATTGTTTGATGATTATTTTTGCCTATGCTACAAAAAATATTCTGTGGTTATGCTAATTGTTTAAAGGAAAAGGTGTATAAAGCGGTGTAATTCTGATAAGCATGCCAGCGAAGATGTATGCACTGCAGTGGCTTGCCATGACATTTGATGTTAGGAAAGCTGTGTTTCTGTAAGGAGCCGACTCACAGGGGCAATCAGTTAACTGCCCGTCAGTTATCGTCTAGGCTCCATTCGTATTCATTTGTTCGATAAGCTAGTAAAAACCGTAGACTTCTCTAAATGCATTTTTAATGTCACAATTACATTCTGAATCGCTAGCCACGATATAAGGGCTGCAATTAAAAATAAAATTATAAAAACTTACTTGGTAAAATAAAATGTGTGGTAGATACACAGGGTGTAATCGGAATGAGGTTTTAAAAATTTGTGGGATTGTAGTGGATGAAATTTTGAACGTTTTGATGTAAGGAACCCGAAGCCGAAAATGTGATATAAAGTTTCTACAGCACTTTGCACCTTGCAGTCGGTATGCTGCATGAAACAGCAGGATATGTACAGTATTTATGACAAGTTTTATTGACAAAACAGTAGAGTATTATCAAACTGTACATCGAATCAGTGGCTGTACTACTTTAGAGTAAATTTTCAATATGACGACCACCAACTTCGTAACATAATGTGCATCGACAAATCATCTTTTGTCCGACTCTCTGTAAGATGCCACGCTCCTCTCTGATGGTATTAAATGCTGAAAAGATGCGCTCCAAAAGCGCGTGAACTGTTCCTACAGAAGTTGCGTACACAAGGGACTTTACATAACCCCAGAGAAAGAAGTCAAGAACGATAACATGACATCAATGGACGGAAGGTTAGCTACCAAAGTGAAGGGCGGTCAAGCACTTCCTTACCGCTGTAGAAACTTTATATCACATTTCCGGCTATGGGTTCCTTATATCAAAACGTTCAAAATTTCATCCTCTACAATCTCCCAAATTTTTAAAACGTCATTCTGATACACCCTGTATATACCTGGTACAAAATATTCTTCAATTGTATGAAAATAGTTATAAAGAAAATTATACTCTAATATAGCTTTGTAAAGATATGTACATAAAAATATAAAATATTCTTTACTTTTTAAATCTTAACCACTTAATGAAATAGCTCCCTACGAATGGAATCAGAGACGTTCNTTTATTTATATATTTTTTCATAACCTATCCAGAGCCTCACGTAAACAAAAAACTTACAATGTACTGTACATTCTTTCGGTACATTCTATATTTTGTAGCAAGGGTGTTAAGAAATTTTATATAATCTACTGTTTGGAACAGACACGACCTGCTAAAAAAATTATCAATAAATAAGCAATTAGAAAATGCAATTGCAGATCTTCGTAAAAAAAAAATTATTTATGTAACTAATAGGCGTAATTGGCATTATGTACTGCATATGTGTATATCCATCTAAACAAAAAAAATGTGTCTTTAAAATAATAACATTTCTTCCACGTTATCTTCCTCACAACCTTCATCAACACACGAAAGTCACAGGTAAAGTAACAAATACTGTACAGTCGACCCCCCATAACGTACGTTCCTATAACGATAATTCCTATAACGTAGCGAAAAAATTGTAGAAACTTTCGTATAACGTACCTCCTATAACGTCGTTTCGCGAGAAGATTGATAGAGTCTGGACCAATAGTGGATGAGCAGCCGAACTACTTACCTCCGACCCTGCGCCACGCTACGGAGCGGCTAAATTGAGTTTGCTATGGTCTGTTTAGTATTATATATAAATTATATATAAATTAGGTACTGTACATATAATTATATATTAATTATATATAAATTAGGTACTGTATATATAATTATATAT